ATGCTTGAATAAAATTTGTCAAGATCTACTGATTTTTAGTGACTTCGTAGATGCGGCTTTACATCTGGGCTTGTGGTTATCACTTTCCTATGGATATAAAGGGAGAGAGAGAGAGAGAGAAAGAGTTCATGACCTTAAATGTTTTTTATTTCGAATTTGTCATTTTTAGTGATTTAATGAAGTGGTATTTGTTATTCTGTGGGAAGTTCCTATTGGACACATATATTTTGAAAAGCTGGCACACTGTTTGTTTATATTCCATCTAATTTTTTGGTATTTAAGTTCAGATTTAATAGACTTTAATAGACGCTTCTCCAACAAACTGTTCTGTTGAGAGTGGTATATTAGGAAAGCTACTTGTAGCGAAATTCTCATTTAAAAAATTTTTATTTTCTATATTTGAAGATCTGAGGACACGGAAATGAAGTTATTATTTGCGGAATCAAAACTGGAGGGAATTGAAACTTTAAAAACGGAACTTAAAAATGCTCATCAAATTAATCAACAACTCAGGGATGAAGTTTCACTGGTTATTCTTAATTTTTTTAGCATTTCGGTTCCAAAAAAATGGGAAAGTTTTTTTTCTCATTCATTTTGATAAAGACCGGTTATAATAAATGATTGAAATTATTGACTGATTTTAATATATTTTAATTTTTTTCTAGGTCTTCAACTATGGATTAAAGTATTGCTATGTGATTAGTGATTATGCTATTTCTAGCTTCAAAAACGATTAGAAGAGGAGAGCTTTGGGTCAAAGTCACGGATTAGGTCAATGGAACTTGACACTTCGCAAATAGTAGCTGAGGTATATCTCTTTCTGTATTTAAAGTTTTTGACTTAGTTCCAAGGTCTAGGATGTACCAATATATTATGCTGAAATTACTGATAATCGATGCCTAAATTTATGCTGTCATGTTCTTGAAATTCAGCTCCATTGATTTATGTGAATATCCATAATTTCAAAACTTAGACCTACATTCTTTTTACAGGTAGTGCGATTGAAGAGTTTATTGGTCAGTGAAGAAAGAGCGAAGGAATCTGCAAAGGCTAAAGCTCGGAAGTACGAAGATGAATTAATGATTGAGAGGAGGCGCTGCACTGAATTCAGTGCTGTCTTTGAAAGAGCCAAAAAGGTTTTAAGTTTGATTAACTTCCTCTTTTATTAGTCTTTATGCTACCTTTTTTACAAAATATTAGTAGAGAATAGCAGGAATACTGAAGTCTTCAGTGGTTTCTCAGCGGTAACTAGATTGATTATCATTCAAATTATAGGTATGGTTAGTAAATAAGGCTATTTTTATAGATAAAAATTTAAATAGTCAATTTTGATCTTTTATTTTGCTAAATGATTTTTTAAACAGTTGCATTTTCAACAATGTGAAGCCGCGCAGCACAAATATCTATCTCTTCTCTCTGTATGCCAGAAACAGCAAGCGCATATTCTCGACTTGTATGCCAGAATTGAGGTAATTTCACGTTTTTGAAAAAAAAGGCTGTGTAAATGCCTCATTTCTTTTCCAAGAAGAAAGTTGTGGCTATAACTTATGTTTATAAATTTAAAATTTTGAAAGGCTTTATAACTCTAGGAGATCGTGGCACTATCAAATTCCGAAAAATTGGTAAGCATTGAACCGCAGATGTTGTTTCCAAGAAGTTCTCTTAGCGAAATGTGTTTTTCGAATAGCAGTTCACAGTAAGTTGTAGACATTTTATGACTTTATCTTGCCTTTTATGTCTTTTTAAAATGGGAGTTTAATGAAAATTATAAATTTCTATTTTTATCAATTTTTCCCGCTTTTATTATTGCAGGGGAAGTTTTTTTCCATCTGAATTATTTGATGAAGAAAATGAAAGTGATAATGATAGCGATGTACATATTCATGATAGTGATACCGTTGTATCATTATCGAAGAATGACCCCAAAGATGGAGTTTTGTCGCTTTCTTCTTGAAATATTATTTCAGTGAGCTGCTAGAAAGTGAAAAATTAAAATCTCAGCTAGGAAGAACGGTTTGCTGCTTTTTTTAGGAAAAATACAAAATTACGGCTTTAACGCACATCGAATTAAAGCAATTATTTTTAGGTATTTCCATATCTATTTCATAGATATGTTTCTCATGCTATTTTTTAGAAGTATAAAATTCTATTTTTACAATAATTTTATTGGAATTTGGATGAGCTAGAAGAGAAATAAGAAATGTCTTTTTTTTGTTATATTGTGAGGTGAATATTTTGTCAGGAAATTTTCTGAATTTTTATTGTTTGAAAATGTATTCCACAGTGCTAGCATTATAAAAGTTATAAGTTGATAAACATCTGATTTCTCATATTGTGCATACAAAGTAATGTTGCTGCATGGTGAGAGATATTGTTGATATATCATATTCGATTGTCAGTTTTATATATCAACCCTATTTTCATCATGGTTATTACTCTGGAGATAAATAACTATGATTATCAAGTAATTAATTTAACAGATTAAATTCGTCTATCTTTCCAAAACTTTATTATGACATTTCATCGGAGCGCTTATCCGGTTTTATGATTTTTTTACTCCTAATAATTATAAAATAGCTTAAATTTTTGAATAAAAATAAAATATTGTGTAAAAAAAGTTACTGAATTGAAAACGCTATAATTCTAATAAAAGTTTCATATTCCGTATGGTAAAAAGAGGAGATAGTATTTCCCAGCAAATATTTGTCGGTTTGTTAGAAGCTATAATCGGGAATAAGAAAATGTCACATGTCACATGAACTTTTTTTTTGTATCACGAAGAAAAGAGAGAAGTCGTTTATTGATATGGAAGTGAGAAAGTTGTTTTCTTAATTACTTTTATATTTAACATTTCAAATCGAAACACAACTCATCATCTCTACACGTATACATTCATTTGCTTCAATTTTTTTCTATTATTTTGGCACGTATGACAAAAACAATAATTTCTTTATCAAAGAATAATTTTCCGTATTTTTTTTTTATTACAGCGAATTTTTATATTACGGAAAGAGGAATAATCAGCAGAAATTATAGGAAAATTGAAAGTGTACGTTTACAGATCAAATATGTCATCATTTTTATTCTTATTGTTACAACTCATTTACATTGAACCATTGAACTCTTCACCACTCTGTCAAACATCTGGTATTTGCAAAATCCTTTGCTAACTTTCCTTTTCTTCAAATTTAAGCTTTAAATAATTGAAATAATTACTTACTATCTGCTGACGAGAATTTGAAATATGACACAAAATGGACTCCTATATTGGATGTTGAAAGAATGAAAAAATGCAAAAAAGAATTCGAATAATAAAATTCATCATTCCATGGCGAAACCTTTATAAAATTTTACAAATTTAAAAAGGAAATTAAGTGAGACTGAATAATATAAGAGGCAACATTTCGAAATCCTCAAATCTTTTTCATTTGAACTTAAAATACCATATTAATTGCAAAATATTTGTTTCATTTTCAAAAAAGAAATCAAATATTCTATGAAGATTATTTCTCACCATTTAAAAATAAAGTAGTCAACTAAATTCTATTTGTAAGATTTTATTCGTTATTATCATTATCGGATTATCAATTTTATCCCTGTTCCTAACAGACTTATGATAATTTACAAGAACATTTATAGGAATATTTACATTTTTCATTTATACAATTTTCAAAAAAAAAACGTGGATTACAAGCTAAAATTAGGAAAATACAAAAATATTCCAAATATAAAAATAAATATGAAATGGCATAAATTACAGGTCATGTATACATTACGACTAACTTTTAGAAATTATCAGATTCAGATGATATGCTTTTTTTCCAACTTTTTTTTCCAAAATAGAAAAATTTTCATTTTGACAAAAATTTAACATTTTTTAAAATTTTCATGCCTAAAATTCAATTATTAAGAAAAAACTGCATATTATGGTCGTTTGCAAGGTAAAATCATTAATTATCGTATTGCTCAATATCCACGTAAGGAATTACATCAAAATATGGATGAAGTGAAATTTATGGAATATGTCAATGTTGCTGTACGTAAAGCTATCAAGGTATGCTATTAGAAATTGTATAGAATAATTGAATTGAATTTTAAAATATATTCAATGATAAAATGACTTTATTTAATTAATAATAGTTGATTTGTTAATTATTTAATTATTTAGTTGTGGGAAGAAGTAATTGATGTTAAATTTATCGAATGGCATCGTGAAAAAGCAAATATTGAAGTAATATTTACAACATTTTATCATGGTGATAAATATCCATTTGATGGAAGTGGAAATGAATTAGCGCATACGTTTTATCCAAATGATCTCATATGGCATGGACAAATTCACATCGATGATAGCGAACCATGGTTTTATACCCTTTGACCCTTCAATTTATCAATACGTTTTTGAAATTAAAATTTCAATCACTTTTGAAATTAAAATTTTCATTCGAAAATTTGAATGCTATATGTAAAATAATATTTTGTTTGAATTGAAGATATTTTTTACACATTAAGGCAGCAAATTTTAAAATTCATCCAAACAGCTATGTTTTAGAACAAAATGTGAACATTTTAATGAATGCCTGCTTTGTTAAACATTCATAAATTGTAATTAAGGGGTCCAACTGGTGGAAATTTGGATTGGGTTATGGCACATGAAGTAGGTCATGCCTTAGGCCTTGTTCATAACAATGATGAGTCATTGATGACATCACATTATCATGGCTTCAAAGGAACAGTGCCGAAATTGCATCCATGTGATATCGCTGCGATACAGTCATTGTATGGTTCGTTTATATCGTTTGCTTCTGTTAGCTAAGCTAAGATAATTTATATGAAATAATAAAGTTTAGGAATAAATTTTAAAAATGATGCATTTAATCTTAGCTTATGAAAAAAGTCTACCTTAAAAAATTGAATCATGAAGATCAGATCAGTTAATTGAAAGAAAAAGAAAAGTGAAATCAAGAAACAATACCGAGAAAAGTTAAATTTACATTGGATTTGAAAGAATCATTTAAAATCTAAATTTAAATATGAATGTTTAGCTATGATTGGAAGAACACATTTAGAATTTTTCAGGTAAAAAAAATCATCGGAAAAAAAAATCGCTTCCTCACATAAACAGTCGATAACTAATCTTTCTAATATAATTATTACTGATGAAATATTTGTTTTTCTAAACAGTAATATTATCGTTTTTAGAAGTAACACATTTGTATGCTTTACTTTTATTAATGATACGCTAAAATTACATCTCCTAACGATATGATATCAACGTCATAATTATCAAATTGTTTCATTTAGCAAGGAAGACGCACTGCTTTAAATACAATATTATCGATAGCAGAATGATACTTGTTTTGATGGTTTTTTTATTAATTGATGATCAATCTGCAACTTTAAAAACTTTATATTTTTATCGATTGTAAATTAGAAAGCAAAAGTTTCGTAATTCTGGTTTTCGAACTTCTCAACGACACCAATTTTTAAAACAAAATTAAAATGCACTAGCCGTTTAAGTAAACATATTACCTTTGATCAATGAATATCACAACCAATTATGATGCAATCACATGTAGGTTCGTAAAGACCAGCTAACAACATCTTCGCGTCAAAGTTGTTTAATGACATTACTTAAACGGCTAGTGCACTTTAGTTTTGTTTTAGAAATTGAAGTTATTTAAAAAGGAAATACGCATAGAGAAATGAAAACGGTTTTTTTTTCTAGTAGGATGCTAAAAAAACTTTAAACTTTTCATTTCTAAACTTCACTAAACACCTCGAGTTAGAAATTATTGTACTTATAGTTGGATTTCGCTCTATTGTTCCTGCTGCTGTTAATCTATCAGTTATTCTTTCAAATATTATTTATCATTTTCTTAGTAAATATTTGTGAAATTTGACAAAATACCTATAAAATATTTTAACATGCTATTTTACCTACATCAATTATGGAAATTTGATCACAATGCATAAACTATAATCATGGAATATTCTTGATTTTAGATTTTCAGTCTGTAAAATTGTGTTAACATTTAATTCAGCTGACATAAAGATTCCGATGGTTACTGATATCGCTTTTGTGAGTTCGAGACGCAGTTAATTAATAAAATTCAAGTAGTTTTGATATTATAGTGAATATGTTCTTATTATTTAAATTACACCTGTTATTGACAGTAATCATATGTGAAATTTCAGCAGGCTGTGTTTCTAAATCTCTTTATCTCACATCAAGATATTCAAGATTGATTCAAAAATGATTTCAATGAAGATCCACGTACTATACAGAAACTAAGCGTTATATATTTGTCATTGTAATGAAATAAAAACTCCAATATTTTTTATTTTACTTCTAGTCTTATAGAGTTCTTCGAACTCAGCGTAAAGTAAAAAATAAATTATATCAAATTCTTCCTTCTGCCTAAATTATATATTATATGCAACAAGAAAAGATGAATGATTCATTTAAAAAGCACTGAATTACATCGAGATAGCGTATAAACATAGAAAAGGAAGATCACGAAAATATTAAGTTAAACAAAAATAGGAACAAGCAATGAATTGTCAGTGATCAATACTCGATCAAGAGCACTTTCAGAAATTAAACGCTTCAAAATGAAAAAAGATGCGCAAAAAATTATTCAAAAATGTTGGCTTCATTAGGTGACTGATTCCGAATTATTTATTCTAGGATTTAATCTATTTCGAATTTGAAATACGCGCTCAATAGCCTGTAAAAGATGAATATACCGAATAGTCTCCTAAAAATGAAATAGAAAAAATCAGTGCTTCCGTGATTTTGTTTTCAAATTGTCAATCGAAGACTGATAATTTAAATCTAAGCGATTAACATTCTTTCCAAATTCGAATGCTCAAGCCGAGCAAATATCTTCCACCTTACATATTCTGTCAAGTTTGATTCTGACCAGTATCTAGACTCTCAAAAACTTTTTGGTACTGAAATTTAATCAAAATTTGATTTTTAGGAAAAAATGCTTTGCAATGAAGCTTACTTCTTTAAAACACTGGAAGTTATAGTCAATGAGGCCTTGCTTCTCGAAGTTCTCAGAGCGTATGATACAGACAAGAGCAAGAAACATATTAACCTGTAATCTCTTTATTTTTAGATGAATAATAGTAAAGATGGAATATATGGTGATAAGGCTGACGGAGAGAATTTTACTTGCTGGTATATGCACAGTTCTAATTAAGTAACGTGGAATGTAATAATTAGATGAATACCTGTCGCAAGAATAATACTTGGTCAGTTCGCAAATGTATCACCGCAGATGACTGAGAATCAAACACTGCACATGACAAATCATCTGAACATCTGCAATACTTCTTTCGGATAAAAATTCCATTTTCATGTTTCAAGAAAAAAGCAAAGTCAAACAGCATTTTTATATTTCCATTTAATTAGAAACAAATTTTATTTTCGTCAAGGATGCCACAATAAAATGCTCACCCATATATGGAAGATATATCAATGGTTACGTCAATCATATCACAACAAAGTTCGTATGTTGCCATATCAACAGGTGATGAATCGGTCGCTATATATATTTTGCTTGCCACATCAAAAAGAAATGCTTTTTCAACATTTGAGCCCTATAATACAAGGATTATGGACTTCTAAAATCTACAAAGGATAAACAAAAAACCTGCAATCTATAATTCTAACTAGTCATTATGACAGCTGAAATAATTGCATACCTATGTAATTCAAGCTTACTGCATAAGTTCGTGCAATACATTTAGATGAGAAGCATTACTTAGAGACAAATAATTTTAATTCTGAATGAGGAATGGAACAATCTCTGAAATAATGAGAAAATACTTACCTGATTGAAAATATCAAGCAGTCGCTCAAGAGTTGATAACTGCTTTATAAGTTTTTGCACAACTTTGCTAAATGCTTCGAATATTGAATGGTCATAAATGGATGTCAGGTAGTATCTGAAAAAAAGGTGATGTGATTCAATGCCAAATGTATGACACAATAAAGAAAAACGTATTTTAAATTATTAGTATGTTACGTCGTAAGTAAACGAAAATGATTGATGTACGTTTAAAAAATCTATATTTCGAAACGTACGTTATATGAACTTTATCAAGACCATCATCCTGAAGATCATCTTGCACACGTTGAAATATATCACGTTGTGTTTCTAATTTGATCTCCTCACTTAGACCATCCACTTTGTGAATAAATACCTACAACTTTTGTAAATTAAAATCCCCGTTGTAAGAACTGTCGAAATAGCAAACTTGATAATTTTTAGAAATATACATATAGTACAGATCTTAAACTCTCAAATTTATATCACACTTATGGAAATACCAAATCAAATCAAAAGTAAGGACATTGATGATTGATGTCAGCTCTAAAAAGCTCAGGAAATGCAATGACTTATTGTAAAAAATTGAAGAAATTTTTATTTTCACTGTTGATCATTTTAATAGCGTACAATCTTAAGATAGACATACAAATTTAGCAGCCACAAAACTTCATCAGTTTTCTCTCTAATCCAAACTTCACTAATTTCTATAAATTTTATTTTCAGACACTCTTGTTCTCTTGAATGCCTTATCCACTCCAACAGGTCAAAAATAGCACGACTTCCATTTGAAACTTTCTATTGCTTAACTACATATATAATAATATGCTGAACTATCGTAATTCCACCGAGGACGGTAGTAAATCCAAAATTTTAGCAAAAATAACTCACTTCAAACCTAATTTTTTCGTTGATTTCGATTGCTTTTTTGAAATATTCAATCATTTTTTTTAGCGCTTCAGAGTAATCATCCTGAAAATCTGTCTGTATTGCTTCTGCACGAACTAAAAGAATGGAATCTCTTAACCAAACGAACTAAATTTGTTGAGTAATTTCTAACAAGTTCGGTATTACAGCAGTACAAGGTATGTTCTAATAATTGGAAATCATGCATATATAATAAACCTGAGCATCAATAACAAAAAGTAGTGCACCACAGCGAGCAAATGTATCGTGAGGATTCATTGCATTATCAAAAGGACTCATTTGACCGGGAAATTCGATTGCTTCAAAATTAATAAAAGATCCTTTAACTGTTTCCGTTGTCACACGTGGTGTACTTTCAACGAACAATGTCTCATTGGGTGACATTTTATTAAAAACAACTTTTCGTATAGATGTTTTTCCACTCCTAAACGTGTATTTAATTAAGTAACAAAATATGGTAGTGTCTATCTTTATTTGCCTTAACTCTCTATGCCACAACGATGATCATTTGCTCATAAAATTAGAATGATGATTCAATCTTACTGTTGCCATCAACTTCTAATAAATTATTTTCTGAAAAATAATTTAAGATATTTCAGCAATGCAGAACCTTTTCAATCCCATTAATACAATAGTTGGTTTTTGTGATTCGGATATTTCATCGTGATCATCCGCCCAACCATACTCAAATTCGCGGATATCATCGTTCCACATCGTTTCATCTCACATTATCCAAACCTTCATCTTCGTATTTCTGAAATAAATAGTAGGTTCGAAGTTTGTTTTATCTTTGAATCACAGCATTTCCAAAAATACTAATTATTTAAGGTGCAATTAAATTAAGCCGGCTTTTATATTAAATTAACTACTACTGTCAATCTGAGGCGGCACTATTAATCTAAAAGAGCACCAGCGGTCCAAAATGGTACCACTAATCCAAAATGGCATCTTCTATGGCGCCCCAGGCAATAAAGGCACTTCCCCGAGAGTGAAAAAGCAAATTGTCTGACTTCAATCAGTCAACTAGGCTGTTCCACTACTGGTTGGTTCTTCCTCAATAATACGGGAATAGGCCTTAATACGGTTGTTGTTGTTGTATTTAAAGCGCTGGGGAAATGTGACATGCAACTACAAGTAAAAATGAATTCATAGTTAACTCTCTGTAACTGTTAGTATTTGAAGCGACCTGTTTGCTACATCATTTCTTGGTAGCTTGTATAGAAGGCATTAAAGTTACTTGTAAGCCCATTTCACTCATTTCTCTTAAAAATTATATTCAGTCCTAATTTAAGTTAATTTACTTTTATTATTGGGCTATACAGTTTACAATGGAATAGATGTCAGTTATATTTGATAAGTCAACGTTAAATAATTGTTTTCGTAGGCAGATAAAACACCCATTTACAATTCCATAAATCTGTGTTGCGAATATTTTGCCGATTATTAAAAATGATCTAAAAACGTACCTTTATAACGGTACACTTACCATTTTTCTTTGCTATGCTAAAAGATGAATTATAATGTCTTCTTGAGTTCTAATCTCATATTGTTGAATTCCCATTAGTGGCAGCATTTTATTGCATATAATTTAAACGAAACGGAAGATATAACATGCTGTACAAAAAAAAAAAACGGAATATAAAGAAGGAAACTTCTGAAATTTATTGAGGAGTATAATCAATCAAATGAATGCATATTTCAGCCTTTTTCTCTTTCATCTCCTGTCTTTTCTAAATTTACAAACACATACTTACATCTTCAACGATACTGTACGTTACAACCGATTTCCACGTTTAATTTCCTTTAGCAATTTTTTTTTTTGAAGTCATCATCTAGAATAAGATAAAATAGAAGCGAGAAAAAATCCTGCATGCAATTTTTACTTTAAAAAAAAACTTTGGATCTAACTGCTCCTCAGGCAAAGTTAGTT